GCAGATCTCTCCCCCACCCCCACCCTCGCCCCTTGCCCACCGCGCCCCTCAGCAGTGTGTTTCAGTCTGTCTGCCTGTTCTGCTCCCCCGCTCTGTCTCTGGTGAATCCTCTCACCTCCACACCTCTAGCCTGTACCCCAGTTTTGTATGCATAACTAAATAAAAATAAGTCTTTTTTAAAATGTCAGAAACGCCAACGGGTCCAGCAGAGAAGTCAGAAGGTGAAGGCGCGTACCGGGCTGTGCTATGGGAGTAGCGGCCACGTGTTGCGTGCTGTGTGCGCGCGCTCTGTCCGCCAGTGTACACACCGGCTTCGTTGATGCCAGCAGATGCACATCACTCTCCCGCCGTGTGCTGTCTGCGATTCCGGCACCGGACCTGGCGACGGAGACCGCGGCGGCGCGCCCCAGCTTCGGCGCCAGGGGCCGGGGAGGTTTGCGGGTCTCCGCGGAGCCGCCTTCGTTCAGGGCGCGAGGAATTCGCTGCAGCCGGGTTGGCCTAGGGGCTTCGCCAGCATTCCGCATTCCTCCCCCGGCGTCTGGTTCCGAGAGCCTGCTCCGCCCTCTGGCCAGCCGCCCCAGAACCTCCGAGTCCCCAACCCCGGGGATTCGGCGAGGTCCAGCGCGCGGTGGCTGCAAGCTGCGCCGGGTCGCACCTCCAACGCATCTTCAACTCCCGTTTTTTGGTGAACCGTTCTCCTTGGCAAACTTGGTTGAAGCGCTGGGCACGGTTTTGTTACGTTTTGAATGTTTGTGACTTCAAGTTTAACAGTCCTTTCGGCGTTCCTGGGGCGGACGGTGCCTGGGATTTGGAAGCACAGCAAAGACAGCGCCTGAAGCAGAGACCTGTGCCGGGAGCCTGCCCGCCGTCGGGCGCGGGCGTCTCCCGGTGGGGCTGACCTGCGCGCGTCCAGGTTCCCTGGAAAATGCGGCGGGAACGCAATCACCGTGAGGGCGCGCGCGGAGGCGAGGTTTACAGTGACCTCGGTAGCCAGCCCGCCACCCCTCTTAGGTCAGCGCACATAAAACCGCTCGACGAGAAAGAAAAAAAGATTTAAAATTGTAGGAAACGTCAGATCGGGTGGGATGAGGGTGGGGGCCTCAGGCCTTCACACACTTCCTTCCGGGGCCTCGTCCTTGTGGGAACTTTACCACAGCGCCCTTAGCCGAGTGGAAGGACGATTCCTTCCATTTTCTAACCTCCACCAACAGACGCCAACCCGAATTGTCAGTTTCCCCAAATCCAGTTACTAGAAAGCTCCATCATATCGAAATGAAACTCCACTGAGAACAGATAAAACTAAAATTTCGTTGGGGAGGCGAATGGATGGAGAAGGAAGGTGTGGACAACCCCCCCACTTGCCTCCCACGGTGGAGCGTCAGCACCCTGGCAGATTCCCTACAGGTGGATGGAGTCTCTCCCTCTCATCCCCACAGGGATGGAGTCTCTCCCTCCACCCGTGTGCCGCTTTGCTCAGTGACCAGCAGCTGACTCAGTGCAGAGTCCAGAGAACACCCGCTTGCCCTGTGTTTGGGGGCATTTGGGGGGTCAGCTGGTAAGGAGGCAGGAATTCCAGTGGCATACCCTGCTCAGGGGAGAGTCAGAACTTGGGGTGACCTCAGTCAAGCCATACTCACACCACTGTGGTTGCTTATTCTGACCAAAGAAACTTTGCCAGCGGCTAGTAAGAATCAAGTCCAGTCAATCAATCTAAGAACCTAAGAAGATTGGCTTCCTGGCCGCCCTTCTGGGTCCTTTCCCTCTGCTGCTGGGGGGTATGCAAGCAGCCCCTTTGTCTAAAGGGGAGGCTCTACTTGAGAGTGCTGGAAGAGCCACTTCTGGCTTTTGTGATAAGTCAGAATCTGCGGTATTGGCAGTGATAGGAAGGACTTAGTTCATTTTGTTTTGTCTTCTTTCCGACCTCCCTCTCTCCCTCCCTCCCTCCCTTCCTCCTTTTCCACTTCCATCTCTACCTCCTACTCCCACCCCCTTTCTTGGTTTTATTATGTTTGAGGATTTTGGTTTTTGCAGTTCATTCTACAGCAAATGACAACGCTTTGCCTGTGAAGTTCCCTGGTTTCATCCCTTCTGGATAAAATGAATCTCAGAGATGGGAAATGGCCAGCCTCTCAGGCCAGCCCTCCTCCCTCTGACAAAACACACCTTTCCAGGCCTTTCTAGCCCTCATCCTCTTCCTTCCCCCAGGCCCCTACTGCCGGTCCCAGGGTTGATGAGATGTGGCACCTGCCCCAGAGGACTCCTCCATGGCACCGGCAGGTGAGTCCAAGAGGTTCCTCCACCCAGCACTCCAGCCCCACCCCTTCTACCATCTATGGAGGGAGCCCTGAGTGGGTTGGTGATAGAGGGGATTCCTTATCTAAAGTGGGGCACAATCATACTGCCTACTTCTCTGGGCTCTTTATGAAGATGCCTGGGGTCTGGCTGCTGTAGTGTGAGGTTCACTAATTCTAAAGGCTTGCTGGTTATTTCCTGCTGCTGTGGGGTGTGCGGTGATCCCTGCAGTGTTCAGCAAAGGTCCTTGAGAGCTTAGAACAGGCTCTCGCTTTGCAGGGTGCTCCAGGTCAGCTGCTACCGAAGCTGCCAGAAAACCCACCCTGCCCTTCCTTGGGAGGTCCAACACAAACAGAGCGCTGGGTACACAGCCCCGGGGAGGGAGGACGTGTCCTTCCACCCATCCTTTCAGGTCCACCTCAAAAGCACCACCTTTGTGAAACCTTCCCCAACAGCCAGCCCCACCCAAAGAACATTCTCTTCCTTTTATGTGCTCTGAGATGCTACTTCGGAAGCCACTAATGTGAGGAAGATGATGGAGGTGGGAAGTGTGAAAGGATGTATACTGTGATGTCACAGCCCGCTCCCAGGAAGCCGCCCTGCCACCAGTGGGGAAGAAAGGGGAAAGATGATGCCATGTGGGTACAGCATCTCTCAACCGAGCAAACTCTGCCTACCCTGGATGAAGAGAGGAGATTCTCTGTTTACCCAGAGGAGGGGGTCCCCTTTGGGAGCCCCTTCTCCTGACTCTCCAAGCCTTCAAGGGGGAAAGTTCAGAGTCGGGTGCCTGAGGGCGGCTTTCTTGGTGAAAATACTCCTTCCATTCCAGCGGGGAGGCCAGTTAGAAGTTTCCTTGCTCTTCCTCCCTCCAGACACCTGCCCGGACGCTCAACACCCTGTACAGGCCTTCCACCTCCTGTCTCCCCCAGGAGGTCTGAGCACAGCCACCTTTCCACGCCTCCCATACACTTTCAAGCCTCCCCCTCCTTCTCCGATGGTCCTCTCCCGACCCTCAATTTCTGGTTGAATACTTTGAGCCCTAACAAAAGAAGTGCATGTGTGGGTACAAGCATGAGTGTGCCCAACAGAGGGGGGTGCTCAACTGGGAGAAGGTGTTAGGGTACATGACTGGTGGGTTTAGGAGCGTCATCATCTCTCCCCTAACATGAGGCAGCTTAGATATTGGTGGACCGGTATTCGTGGACATGTGTCCAAGTGCTCTCATTATCTGCATTTCAAGTGCATGCACGAACAATTTGATTTCGCTGTTTGTCTTTGGTGTGTAGATGTGAAAATACCACAGTTATGCTCTATATTTGCACATCCATAAATGCACCGCGCTGGGCAGAGGGACGCGATCGAACATTGGCTTCGCGCAGACAGACACCTGTGTGTCGGCACACGCCAGGTTATTTGTGAGGTTTGAGTAGTGTCTCTGTGCAGCTGTGTGCACGGGGCCGTAGCCGGCTGTGTAAATAGCACCTGCCCATCAAGGTCTTGGGCATTCCCGTTTCGAGGCAGGTCCTACACACGGACTGAAGATGTGGCCGCGGAACCCAGCCTGCCTATTTCCTGTGCCCTCCCTAGAGCCAACAAACTGGACTGGCCTCCTATGCCCAGATTCTGTCCCCGTTCGTGCAAGGGTTCAGTCTCGCGCGGCGCCAGGAAAGGCGGGGCGCCGCAAGGGCAAAAGCCCAGACGGCGGATCCTGTCCTCGGTCCGGGGGCCTACGGGAGCCGCGGTGTCGCAACCCAACCGGGCCCCTGCCGGAAGCGGAAGACTGGACGGCCGCGGAGTGGGGGCGGGAGAGGGGCGGCGAGCGCAGTGGCGGCAGCCGCGGCGTGCCAGACCCAGGGCGCCCCGCGGGGGCGTGCGCGCCGCGCGCGTGCGGGGCAGGCTGGGCGCCGGCCGTACCTCCCTCGACCCGGCGTCTGTTTACCAACAAACTGCCGGCGCTCAGTAGCGACGCATTCCGACGCGCTGAATAAGCTGCGGGCGCTGGCGGTCGGGTCTGGGCTCCCCGCAGGTCGGTGGCGACCCGGCCCGAATTACCGCGCAGATCCCGGGAGCCGGAGAGCGCGACCGCGGCTTCCCTGGTCCCCGCAGCCACGGCGCCGCCGCCACCGCGCTGTTCCCTCGCCCTCGGGGCATCGCAGTCTGCCAGCTCTCTCGGGTTTCTGCCTTTTTAACCGACGTTCCCAGACTGCCCACAGTCGTTCTGCAACCCAGGCATCCTTTTAGAGAAGCCCCCGAGATGGCTGGTCCTGCAGCGGGCGCATCACCCCCCTCCCTTCTCCCGGCTCCGACTTTCCTACGGCGGGTTGCCCGGAGGGGCGGGGTTGGGCGCCAGGCCCTGGTGAGGTCACTGTTTGTGGTAGCCAATCTGGGGCGTCTAGGTGGGCGGGGCCCCCGTCGGATCCCGGGAACCGAACCCTAGAGCTGGACGGAGGGGCCCCCATGGGTTTAAGGGGGAGGGGAAAAGCCGTGGGGGGCATCCCCCGGAACCCCTTTTTCCAGGCGCGCTCTCTTCACTGGAAGAGGTGCAGAGAGACACTTTCCCCCGCATCTTAAATAAGGGGGAGGCAAGCTGGGGGACGTGGAGGGGGGGCTCAGCCAGCCCTAACACCCGAAACTCGGAAAAGAGAGAATTGGCAGAGAGAGCGGAGTATGCGCCCCGCCAAGGCCTAGGCCCTTTGGCCCCGGCCGCTATGACCTCCCCGCCCTGCCCCATCCCGGGCCGGGACGCCACCAAAGCCATCTTCCCGGACATCGCCCCCGTCGCCCCGGTAGTGGCTGCCTACCCGCTTGGCCTTTCTCCCGCAACCGCAGCCGCCTCCGATTTGCCCTATCCTGGGCCATACAGCCACTTCTTGCCCTACCCTTACCCTGGGCCGGCAGCCCCGGGGGACTCCTTCCTACCTTGCCAGCAACTTGGGACGCCGTCTCCGGCATCTCAGCAGGAACCCCAGGCTGGTAAGTCTCGCCTTAGCGGCTCTTCCCACCTCGGGCATCCTGCCCTGTGCGGCGGCAAGCTTCGCCCTCCGTCGGTGCAGCTAGCGGTGTTCTGACCTTACTCAGATTCCACGGGACCGGGAGGGGGGAGGCGAAGGGGAGGCGGGAGGGGGGCGGGGGCGAGTTGATGTAGGTCTCCTTTCAAGACCGACCTGGTTTCGATTTGCAGTTGTGTGGAGCCCAGCCGTGGGGCTCTCCCTTCCCCACCCCGGGGAGCAGCTGAATTGTGTGTACCTACGTGTAACGGGAAAATTGAAATAATGCAGATGTGGGTGTGGGTGCCTAGTCCTTCCCCAGGACCTTCTCCATCCTGTACGCCTTCCCTTCCCTGTGTCACCCCTCTTCTGCCTTGGTCTCATCTCCCAATTCAAGCTGAAACCCAGTCAACAGATACCAGATTCCAGGTGGAGGACAGCGGAAGTGGAGGCTTATTCTGTCCCCACTCCCTACCCAGACTGTGCCCAGTTCCTGACCTGCAGTAAACCAGCCCGGCAGATTCCAGGACTAAGATTCCACCACCACCCCTTGTCTAACCCAGAGGTGGGTTGGACAGTCTGTTGCCGTAGGTCCTGGCTGCTTCAGTCGCTGGTGGAGGAACATGCCATCTTTCATCTCCACACCTTGCCTTTGGGGTGGGTTAGGCTGTGCCTATTCCTGGCCATTCACTGTCTGCAGCAACTTTGAGCTCCGGAGAAAACACTCAATAGAAGGACTCAAAGAAGCCCGGGAGCTGGCCCACCTGGTGCTGGGCTGGGCCTGCAGAACCCATGCAACATATCCCTGCCCCTGTGGTGACTCCCGCTTAGTTAGACCTCAGCTGCCTTTCGCCCTGCCCCCACCTCATTGCCCCACTGTCTGGCACAGCCTCCTCCGAGGATGCACTTCCACTGGGTGGCTTTGCTGAAGTCAGTTCAGAAGGAAGTCTCTCCCCCTTCCCTGTATCATCAGAGCCAGAAGTGACCCTAGAGGTTTGGGGGGCTCAGCCTCCTGAATGAGTAGACTGAGGCCTAAAGAAAGGCTGTGCATAGGTCAAGGACACAGCCTTTTGACCCAGCAAATGGACTCTCCCTTTCATGAGACCAGAGAAAAGGACTTCAGGGTCCTCAGAGTCCCCAATAGCTTTTTTGCCAGACGGGGGCTGCCTTTCCAGCTGGGTCTGCCTTTGGAGGAAGAGCACTTAGAGGAGGAGCTGGCGGGTGGGAGGGAGAGGGAAATTTTCCTCCAAATGACTAGTTTCTGCAAACCAGTCTCTTGGATGCTTCCCTTTAGGATGATAATATGGTTACAGTTGTGTCTTTGTGCACATGCCTGTGTGTGTTTGGGGAGTAGGGTGGGAATAGTAGGGATGTTGGGAATGAGGCTGGTATTTCCAACCCTGTCCTCCTCACCCCTTGTCCCCCTTTGCTGACCTAAGGACATGGGAGTGGAGAGTTCCTTTTCTTCACAGACTTTCCCCGGATCCAACGAAAATCAAAAACTACTGAAAATGGTGCGTTGCTCTGCTCCATCTGGATTGAATAAGGTGTGAGGGAGCTCTTGGGGCGCCTTTCACCTCTGCTCTGTGCCTCTCACCTCCAGCTTTGACTACCTTGGGGTGAGGGCCACCCCCACTGAGCAGACGTGCTGCAGCATCTCCAGGGGAGCCCTAGTGCCCAAAGTCTGGACCAGGACAGATCCAGTAGGGACTTGCTGCGACTGGAGGCACAAAGGCATCTGTCCAGGACAGAGCTTGGAAGGAGAGTTGGGTGTAGAGAGGGCTTTCAGAGTTCCGTACTTGGGCTGTGTCACCGCCCCAATCTCCAGGGCCGTGTAGCCAGACGGGCACACGGATGGTCACTCAGCCGCCAGCCTGGGGCTCTAAGCAGTAGGGTCCAAGCAGAAGAGGCCAGACAGCGCGGGCGGGGCGGAAACCCAATGATTTTTCTGGGAATCGGCTGGGGGGGGGGGAGACAAGGGTGGGTCTGAGAAGCCCACAGCGCTGGAGGCCACAGGCAAGGGAGCGGGGAGGTGAAGGCAACTGGTCACTGCTAGCCAAAGACCTGGAACTCGGGGAGGGGGTGCCCCCACCACGGAAGAGGTTGGAGGAGGGTGGAGTGGGGGACAAAATGGACCCTAGTGAAGCCTGGGCATTGGGTCCAAGTGCCCTCCACACGGGTTACCGGCAGAGCCATGTGGATTGAGACCTCAGCCCAGGGCATTTGGGACGCTTGGTCCAAGCTAGCTTACCATCTGCCTTGCTTTCCACTAAAGAGTGGCACAGGTTGGAGCCACCTGGAAGAGGAAGCTTTCACCACCCTGGGGGAGAGGAGGCATTCTGGAGCCTGCCTGTGTCTGGCCCTGGTATTCCTTGAGAGGCCCCGCCCCGGGCTGGAGGGCACGGAGGGCACAGAGGGCACGAGGTCCCACAGCAGCACTCCCCACCCCCCAGTGCCACCCACCGGGGAGCTGGCCTGAGGCTTTGTCAGATGCGGCACTCTCTGAACCAGGTCACGGTCCCTGCCTCAGGGACCCCCTCAATGAGTGTGGCCAGGCAGAGGAGCCTACTAATTTTCGGGGGTCTTTGCTCCATGAGGGCTGAGGAGGGGAGGGGTGGTCTTGTCTACAGTGTGTACCTCAGAAGAAGGCCAGCGCCTTCCAGAGGGGAAGGTTGGCACACTCCGGAGGCACTTTCCACCCTGACACTGAAAGGGGTGCTCATCCCCAGGCTGGCTGGTCCCTCCCACCCCCACCCGCCCCCCTTCCTGTGGCGGTGGCAGGGGCAGAGGGAAGGCTGCCAAGCTGTCAAGCAGTCTCAGGCCTCTGAGCACTTGCGTTCCCTCAGTCTGGAGAGACTTTCCCTTCCATCACCTCTAGCCTCTCCCCAAACCCCCTTGGAGCCTTTCTGCCCCTCCCACCCCTAGCTGGCGCCACCGCACCTGACTGAACTCTGACCTCCCAGGCAGTGCAGCCTGTACCCCACCCAGTCCCTAGGTGCATTCCTCCTGGGGATCCCAGGACCCATAGAGTGGGTGCTCCCCAGGGGCAAAACAGCAGCTTGTGCTTGTCTGGGGGTAGCGGGGAGGGTGTTTGAACAGAGCATGGAGGGGAGGGGAGGGTAGAGAAGGGGCCAGGCGCCTGATGCTGGGAAGGAGCTGATGTCCATGGGTCCTGTGGCTTTTTGCTCCATGCAAATGAGATGCAAATGAGCTCGTTGAGCTGCTTGTGCAACCCGCTCGCCATCCCACAGACCCGTTTTTATTACTGCCTCCTTTCCCAGACCCAGAGAAGCTGCGGTTGTCTCCGGAGCCCTCAGAGAGGCTCCCGCAGGCCCCCGCCAAGAAGCTGCGCAAGCCGAGGACCATCTACTCCAGCCTGCAGCTGCAGCACCTAAACCAGCGCTTCCAGCACACGCAGTACCTGGCGCTGCCCGAGAGGGCCCAGCTGGCCGCTCAGCTCGGCCTCACCCAGACCCAGGTGGGGCCAGTGGCCTCATTCTCCCAATGAACCTTCCCCACAGTGGTGTTCTTTGGGCACGCCCCGCGCCCCCTTGAATGAGTGCCGAGTCCCTGGCCCTGTAGTCAGGGTGTGTTCCTAGCTGGCCCTCTGTGAGTGGGAACGTGCTAAAAGAGGGGTGGGCGATTCAGATAGAGGGCACCCAGCCTGGGGGAACTGGATACTGATTCTGAGGCAGGCGGGACCTGGGGGCAGCAAGGCCAGTTGGTGAGGGGGGTGAGTGTTCCAGATCCTGCACCTCTCCCAGCTCTGCTCCCCACTGCTGGGTCCCTTTCCCCTGATCCCACCTTCCACTCAAGTCCTCCTCCTGACCTTCCTTCTATTTTTTCCATCTCCTTAAAGGTAAAGATCTGGTTTCAGAACAAACGCTCCAAATACAAGAAACTTCTGAAGCAGAACTCTGGCGGGCAGGACAGGGACTTCCCGGGGAGGCCCCCCTCCCTGTCTCCCTGCTCTCCTCCCCTTCCAGCCCTCTGGGATCTACCCAAGGCGGGGGCCCTGCCTGCCGGTGGCTATGGCAACAGCTTTGGAACCTGGTATCAGCATCACTCCCCAGATGTCCTGGCTCCACCTCAGATGATGTGAGTCTGGGGAAGGATGGGCTGGGCCTCCAGCCCTCCTACAAAGCCCAGGACCCGGCCCACCTGCACCCCTTCTGGGCTGGAAGGAAACCAGCTCCAGATGGGTTTTCTCAGGAGGGCAGAGGAGAGAAACGGTGGGTGTGTCCTGCCCCCTTTCCCTGAAACCCAAACAGTCCCAACAAGCGTGGCAGTCTTAACCACTGCCCCTCCACGACGACTGTGGACTGGACACCTGCCCTCCAGCTGGTCAAAGGCTCTGGAGAGAGGCTCATGACTGGAGTCCAGACGGCTCCCAGGACGCCATCTTTGCTGTGCCACAGTGCCCAGGTCAAAGCCAGCTGGAAACACCCTGAGCATGTGCTTCATTGCATGCCGAGGGCCTTGCCTCCTATTTGCAAGCAAAAACAGTAGTGAAGTGGACATTGAGAGCCTTCAAGTTGACCCTCTGGCCCTACCCATCACCTTTGCCTGGAGGTCAGCCCTTTCCCTATAACTGATATACCCATTCACCATCCTGTGAAGTAGAAGGCATCTCACAGGTACCCTGAAGTGGGGGCCGAAGGGGTGGATAATTTATGCTGTCTTCCTAAAAACCCCTGCCTTCCCCCATATTTACCCATCTTGAGTATATAATGGATCCAATTATCCATATAATCCACCAGCTGTTATTAAGAGCTCCCCTCTCATACCCAAGAACTCACCTATGGGCACCTTGGAGCCCGTTAGGGGAACTCTTTGGGAGAGAATGGGGACATAAGGGCTCTCTGAATGAGTGACTAGGGATGTGGAGTAGGTAGAGAAGAGGCCGCTCCCTGCACAGCCAGCTTTAAGTGCAGAAATTGCTCATATTTATAACCAAATTGACAAGCTTTCCCATGATCTTACCACCCCCCATACACACCACGAGCATCCAGAGATTAAAGTTTATGCAAAAACCCAGGCCCTGGCGGGCTGTGTGATGTGACGTGTGTGTTCCTGATTTCTGAGTGGGGCTGGGGCTCGTCAGTTCTTCCCATCTGAGTCCTCCAGCACTAACTAGAGACCCTGGGTCCTGCCTTTGCCTCCACCGCTAACTAGTGCAAGGCTCAGGTACTGGGATGTCTTGATAGTGTTCATCTCTGCAGCTGTGCCAGTATGAAACTGGAAGGTGGGAGGTGGGGGTGGTCAGTCTGGGTAGTCCTCACCGGCAGAGTCTCTTCTGACTTTACCTCCCAGCCCCTCATCTCCCACCTTCAGCCCCTGAAGAGGCCCTGCTCACCTTGGAGCGGCCGCCCTCACCACTCAGACACCTTAACTCACCCAGAGGAAGTGGGATGGGGAGGGTAGGAGAAGAAAAACCTTAGAAGAAACTGGACTTCCCCATCTCACATTTGTACAACCTCTGTGTTAAATGCCTGGGAGACCAAGGGGCGGACCCCTTAATCTAACAGGGAGCGAGACAAATGGCCTGAAGTCTACGTGGCTTGGCTTCAGGAAGAAAGGTATAGAGGGGCCCTGTGGGCATAGTCCAGGGGCTCCTTGACCTGGACACAGAGGTGGTTTACAGCCTCTGCACCCAGCACCACACACACAGCATCCCAAGGCAGGGGCCTCAGAACAGGGGGTCCAGTCACCTAGGGGTCAGCCCAGCACTGTCCAGTTGAGGCAGGGCCTCTAACTCCAGGCAAGAAGCTTCCAGGGGATTACAGTTAAGATGGGAAAATGCACAAAATGATGTAAACATAAAACTATTATATTACTAAAAAAAAAATAAGCTTCCAGGAAAGCTCCCCCTCTTTACCTAAACTTGTTCCCAAGTGCTGCAGCTTGGGGCTGCCCAAGTCTGAAAGCCCTCTCAGGCACATGGAGCCAGCCAACTACAGACCAGTTGGCCAAAGAGAGGTACAAGGGGAGTCACATGTAGGAGAGTGGGGAGTTCAGAGGAGACCCTGCACCTCGGTAGGCCAGCAGGCAGTCCCCCCAGACCCTCTTCTGGGTCAGCAGTCGCCCCCACTCCCTGGAACACTCAAGGAGGGTTCATCCTGGGCCAGCTGAGATCCAGGAGCTGTGGGGAGGGGGAACGCCAAGGGGAGCAATACCCTTTTGTGCCCCCTCACGGGTGGCCCTGAGCCCTGGCTGCTATGGGGGGGGTGCGTGCAGGCTCTGGCACCTGGGCCCAGACCCCTCCTCGGGTCTCCTGTGAGGCCACAGGCGCTCGGGGCGGCTGTTCCTCCTCCTGCTTGTTGCACACTCCTCTTTCCACAGGCCGAGATAAGATCTACCGCCCCATCTCGGAAAGCCTCCAAAGGCGAGATTAATTGGACAGCCCAACACGAGTCGCATCGTTAAAACAACAGCCCAGGTTGTAAAGTTAAGTAGCAAAAGGAGTGTAATTACTCTCCCAGCCAGAGGCCAGCTGAGCTGACAGCGTCCCCTACCCTCATCCATCTGCCCTTCCAGACCTGCTCCACTCGGGAGCTGGTCCAGTTGCCTTGAGCTCCTGGGTAAGAAAGGAACTGGAACCCCAGTGGAGACCGTTCCCCTCCCTCCAGCCATCTCAGCTGTTCTCGAAGGGGAACCTCTGGTTCTGGCCCAGGAGAACACCCCTCCGGGAAAACTGGCTTGGTAAGGAAGGAGGAACAAGACTGAACCTTTAAGATTGGGGACTCTGCTGTGTGACTTCTCACAAGTTCCTTAACCTCTCTCTGAACCCCGCCCCCACCCCCCAATGGGAAAACTAATAGGAGCTGCTTGCAGTGTGGTTGTGATGATGAAACGAGATAGTGCTTGTAACATGCTTGACATGCTGCCTGGAACAGAGTGAGCACTTAATACATGGCATTTATAGCTGCTGCGTGATTATCAGGCAGGAGGGGTCACGGCCCGGGTGAGTTCACTCTGCCACTGCCATCCATTCCTCTGCCTCCCGAGGGCAGGGAGGACAGGGCTCCGTCAGCCCTGGTCACCACCATTCAGGAGCCAGACACAGGCAAGGTCCTAAACCCCAGCGTACAGGCTGCGCTGGGCGTCAAAAGTCAGCCAAGACGGAGAGGAGAGCGGAAGCAGGTTCAGAACACACTGGCTCACCCCTAAGAGGCTCAACCCCCAGCAGGTCCTTCCCTTCTGGGCCCTCCCCTCTCCCTTTACACTATTTTCAGACATGCCCCCATGCTCTCCCCCAACAAAATGAGATTCAATTAATTCAATTTAAAGCAATTTTGGGAGCAGCTCCTGAAGGCTTTCAATGTGAGATAATTACAAGTAATTTGCTGCTATGAAGGGGAAAAGGGCATGTGGGGTCTGGGGGAAAGGAGGCAGCCCCCTCCTCACCAAAGGCACACAGATCTGGAGGGATTCCACTGAGCGATCTTAACTGCCCTCCCATTGGCCAAATTACTTGCAGGTGGGAGAGGGAGACCGAGTGGTGATGGTGGTGGTGGTGGGAGGGGGCTGGGAAGACACTGAGTGACACACTGCCCTTCCCCCACCCCCAAATCCTCTGTGCGAGGTGGGGGTGGGGAGCTGGTTGTTCCTCTGACAAAATGTCTGCATGGCCTTTGCAGCTGATTACTCAGCTCCAAACCTCATTTGGGTTTGGATGCCTGAACTTGCCTCTGGGATTGTCTCCAGAGTCAATGGAATGTTATCTGGGTAGTTGAGGCCTGTGTAGACGAGGCCTTGGAGATCAAGGACTTCCCCAGGACTTACAGGGGATGTGGGTAGAGAGGGGAAAGGCCGGAGGAGGTGTACACTGACTTCCAGCTTCCAAGGACGTGATGATACACCCCACTCTTCTAGGTGCTTTCTGCTTTTACTCCCCTCCACCCCCCCAGTGGTGGCAGACCTCTCAGCTCTGGGCCCTCAGGGCCACTGAAGCCTCTTCCTCAGAAAAGCATCCTGCAGGTTGCCCGCCCACTCTGTGGTCACCTGGGGTAACCCCTTCCTTGCAGGGGCCCATCGGCCTAGGAGGAGATGGGAGAGGAGTGACTGGGCTGAGGGAGCCAGAGGCTGGAGCTGGGGGTTAGGCCTGAGGCAAAGGCATGGGATGCACCTCAAGGCCTCTGTGAGGACCCCTCTAGTCCTGCCCACAAAGTAGGAACTAGGGTTCTCCTTACCTGGGAGCCCTTGTTCTAGGAGGTGGGTACTGTTTTTGCAACCGTGGTAGAAAAGGAAAACTCACTGACCCCCAAGCCTTCTCTCCCACTTTTCTCCTTGCCCCTCCTGTTTCCAAGGAGGGGCCCTTCCGTCCAGTTTCTCCCACCCCAGGTCTTGTCCACACCCCTTCTCTGAGCAGCATGGCTGCTGGGCCTGGGGGAGCCAGAGCAGCATCCTATCACTGAGTCCCTGGGTGACTGCAGCGTTTCCCCTTCAAGACACAAAAGTTTAAAGCTGGCAAAGAGGCCGCCTCTCCGTGTCTCCACTTCTCATGGCTGTTCAGCTTGGTGAAAAGGGTAGGAGTATCCCCCTTGGTGGCGTAGCAGTTAAAGCGCAGCACTGCAAAGCTGGTCATGGCCGCCTCAGTGCAAATTGATCCCTGCCCCGAGCTGACCCACATGGCCGGCAGACCTCTCCTGACCCGCCCGCCCGCTGCTCCCGAGCAGTGTGCTTCGTTGATCTGCCTGTTCTGCTCCCCGCTCTGTCTCTGGTGAATCCTCTGCACCTCTGTATGCATAAATAAATCTTTAAAAAAACAAAAAAGGGTAGGCGGAAGGAGCCTTCCAACCCAACCCTCAAAATACAAATGCAGGGACCTGTGATGCAGGGCCCCAGCAGAGGGACCCACAGGCGTACACCTTTACACCTTTCCACAGTCAGCAGACGCCCGTCACAGCCACAGCCGCAGCCACAGCCACAAGGTGGGCACGGAAGCACAGAGCAGCCCTGTGAGGGGACATTCAGACACAGACACCCACCGGATACACATCATGTGCACAGAGAAGCACCGCACAGAGGCCGAGGCTTCAAAGTGTGCAGGAACCAGACCCAGACACAGGGGCTAGCTGCCCTGTGGGTGCACAGTGGGCG